TGCAATGGCGATTGTTGCAATTTTTTTTTATGTCACATGGCATTTGCACACCAGTTTTTCACATTTTTTTTTTTTTTAAATACACTTTAGTGAATTACAAAAACCCAAAAAACACAATATATACCCTATTTTTTGTAAAATATGAAAGAGGATGTTACGGCGAGTAACTAGATACCTAAGACGTTACACTTTGAAATCTCACATGCTTTTGGAATGGCGACAAACTATGGTACTTAAAAAATTCTCCACAGGCGATGCTTTAAAAAGGTTTGCAGGTTATCTTTTTAGTTACAGAGGAGGTCTGGCGCTAGAATTATTGCTCTCACTCTAACATTTGCGGCGATACCTCATGTGTGCTGCGAACACCGTTTACATATCCGTGCTCGATTAACGTATGCATTCGCTTCTGCGCATAAGCACGGAGGGATAGTGGTGCTTTAAGGTTTTCTTAATTTTTAAAATGTCCCTTTTTTTTTTTTACCACTTTTATTCTTATTACAATCCCTGGCAAAAAGTATGGAATCACCACTCTTGGAAAATGTTCTTTCAATTGAAACTGTTTTCATTTAACATTCCAACCTTCTGGCTTTAAGAAAAAAATATGGAACCGCTCAATTGTGAAGAAAATATTATGGAATCATGAAAAAAAAATACACAGGTTGGAGCCTTGTCATGGACCATTTTCTTTCATTTCCACTATAGATTTTCAATCGGAATGAGGTCCGGACTATTTGCAGGCTATGCCATTGACATTATATGTTTTTCTTGAAGGAAAGTTTTCAAGGCTGTAGCCCTATGGCAAGTAGCATTATTATCCTGAAAAATTGTGTAATCATCACCAAACATCCTTTCAATTGATGGAATAAGTAAAGTGTCCAAAATCTCCATATAAACTTGTGCATTTATCAAAGATTTAATGACGGTCATCTCCCCCGTACCTTTACCTGACATTCAACCCCATATCATCAATGATTTGCATGTTTTCTTCAGGCAGTCGTCTTTATTCATTTCATTGGAACAGCACCAAACAAAAGTTCCAGCATCATCACCCTGCCCAATGCAGATTCCTGATTCATCACTGAATATCCCTTTCATCCAGTCATCCACAGTCCATGATTGCTTTTCTTTAGCCTATTGTAACCTTGTTTTTTTGTCTTTAGGCGTTTGATGGTTTTCGTTTGTCTTTTCTGTACGTAAATCCCATTTCCTTTAGGCGATGTCTTACAGTTCGGTCACAGACATTGACTCGTTTCTGCCTATTTGTTCCTCATTTTTTTTGTTGTGCATTTTCTGTTTTCAAGTCATATTGCTTTAAGTTTTCTACCTCGACATTTTATTCATTTCAGGTACTTATATAGCGTCATCAATTTACGCAGCACTTTACATATATATTGTATATTCCCATCAGTCCCTAACCTTCAAGGAGCGTACAATCTAAGGTCCCTAACTCACATTCATACATACACATACTAGGGTCAATTTAAACAGGAGCCAATTAACCTACCAGCATGTCGTTGGAGGGAAACCAGAGTATCCGGAGGAAACACATACAGACAAAAGAGAGAACATGCAAACTCCAGGCAAGTGGTGCCGTTTTTTGGGATTCGAACCAGCAACCCTAGTACTGCCAGGTGAAAGTGCAAACCATTAAGCCACTGTGCTTTGATGTGTTCCTTGGTCTACCAGTACGCTTTCCTTTTACAACCTTTCCATTTGATTTGTACAAATTTAGACACAGCTGACTGGGAACAACCAACATATTTTGCAACATTCCCTGATGATTTACCTCCTTGAAGAAGTTTTCTAATCCTCTCCTTTATTTCAACTGGCATCTCTCGTGTTGGAGCCATGATTCATGTCAATGTCAGAGCCTGGGATTGAACCTTGGCCTTCTGCGGTGAGAGGCAATGTTTCTTCTCACTGAGCCACCTGGAATGCTGGACAGCTCCCTTGACTATTCTTTGGATGATCCTGCCTTGGCCCTGTTTGTCTTGAACCTTGAACTCCTTGCTCCTCACATGAACTTCCTATAAAAGCCATGTCCATACACTTCCTCCTTGCCAGATTATTGTGCCTTCCCAGCCAATATCCCGCTTACTGTTCCTGCTGCTGTCTACATCTTTGTTACCGACCATTGGCTTGCTACTAACTAAGATTCTGCCTCATCCTATCTACTACCATTTGTGACCGAACCTTGGCTTGTGACTGACTCCGCTTCTGTTTGATCCACTTTTGGTTTCCAGCTTGCTCATTCCCTGGTGGGGTGATCCTGAGATCTGCGACCTGGTATTAGCACGCAGCCAAATCCATCTCCACCATTAGGAGCTCTGGGGAAAACCAGTTAATACTTAGACCCCACACCTCAGGTGAGCCTGCGTCATTCCCAGGGTGATCTGCTGGTGTACCAACCCTGCTGGTTTCAGGTAAGCCTTACACTGCTGTAGCAACTGGTCTCTGAACCTGACCTAGACCGTGACAGTCAATCAGCTTGGTGCAACAACTCACCAAGTTGTGCAAGCACTCTTTTTTTAACTGCAGACTAATTAGCAGATGTAATCTGATGCAGATGTTTAATTTAGAACTGCAAAGTACATGGTGATTCCATATTTTTTCCTCTGCTTGATCTGCAAAAACAGTTGCAATTGACTACAGGTTTCTTTCTTTTTTATTTTTTTTTTTAGGGTTTCTTAAAGCAAGAAGATCGGAATGTTAAATGAAAATAGTGGTGATTCCATATTTTTTCCAGTATTTGTACAAGAAAAAAACACCCCTTGTAATAGAAATATTCATGACAGGTCCTCTTTAAGGAGAGATCTGGGGTCTCCTTTACCTTTAAAATCAAAAGCTCAAAAGAAAAATTGTTTACATCCTCCGCCGATCGGAAGTGACATCATGACGTCACTCTGGTCCTCCATCATGATAGAGTCTCCCGTCGTCTCCATTTTCAGCTGGCCGCACCGTTGGATCGTTTCTTGAGAGCGCCAGTTTTAATGGCAAGCTAGAGAAACACTGGCACATGGCAGGAGGACGGGGACATCCGTTCCTGCCACTACGGAAACCGATCCAGTGGCTGAAGAGCCGCTAGGACCGCTTCCAACAGAAAGCCGCTCATCGGCTAAAAAAAAAAAAATAATTCTTCAGCCATAGCCCTGGTAAACTACTTGCAAACCACAACGTTTATATACTGAACATATTGAGGTGTTCAAGTGGTTATAGTTTCTTGGTAACTCATGCTAGCTCTATAAAACTTTTAGTCACTGAACCAGAACAAGTATGCAATCATTTCTGATATTACTTTGAACTGCATACTTGTTTTGGGTTAGTGACTCAGTTAGTACCGAAAAAAGATTAAAGTGGCATTAAACATGAGACCATAAATGTAATATATTGCAGTTTACCAATCCTTAGATGTGGTTGCTGCATTCATTTGTATTTTTTAGGCTTTTTTCCCCTGTATTTTCACCAGGTGATCTGGCCGGTTACACACCTCCTGCATTAGAGTGACCCCAGTGTGAATGAAGGAGCACAGGGGGCACATTTGGACAGCATCACTGTCTGTCCAAGAGGAAGGGAGTGTAAGATAGACTAGCAGTTTTGAATACAGTAACAAATTGAAGCCAAACTCCAGTTCACACTTTTTAACCCCTTCACGCCTAAGGGTAAAACAAATCTAAATGCCTAGGCAGAATTTTGCAACTTTGACATGTGTTAGCAAAACCGTGCATATCATCACAACTACTTTGTACATCCAGGTGAATTATACTGCGTTTTTTGCAGAACAAATTGGGCTTTCATTTGGTGGTAAATGGTAATGGATATCTCCTGATTTTTTTTTCTATTATCAAAAGAAAACTGGCCCAAAATAGTAAAAAAAAATATTTTGTTTTTATTTAGCTGTGTGTTTCTTGTTACTATCATAACCTACTACCAAAGGACAACCCAAAATAAATTCACCAGCTCTTGAAGATCGCAGCGATACCATATATGTGTATGTTATTTGTTGTTTGTACCCGTAGTACCGCCCAGAAACAATAGCGCGCATTTTGTTTTTGTCTTTTTTTTTTTTACCTAAAAACACACTGACACTGATACCAATTTTTTTTTTAAATCCTGACCTTTGACCCTGACCCACACAATAACCCTGGCACTGAACTAGATCAAACCTTGATCTAGGTATTTTTTATTTTTTTTCAAATAATTTTATTTTTTATTTTTTTATAAACTATTTTTTTTTTCTCTCTATGCCAGGAGTTCAAGAGATACAATGTATCTCTCTTCTCCATTCATAGACAGAGAGAAAAAAAAACAAGGGGGCTGGGCTGCAGTGACTGATCACTGTGATCGCCAATCAGAGGCTATCACAGCGATCATGTGACCTGGAATCGGGAGTCTCGGGTCCCGATCGCTAGAACGGGACCCAGGGCTCTCAGTGACACCGCGGTCTTTGTGTGGGAGCGCGCAAAAAAACACTTGATGCGGCAAAGACACGTGTTAACACTATACGCATTTATCGTGTGAGCATTAATTTATCTCAATGGCCAGAATAAAATAGTATTCTGGCCAATGAAACAAATTAACTCCCAAGCACTTGACGTGGGTAAATGAAGCTAAAAGCGGTACATGAATTTTCCAGCATCCAGCGTTTTCCTGCTACCAAGAGAAAGGCGTCCAGGGAGCGTCCATTGTGCATGAACCCTAACTAATACCTCTGCAAGAGGGCTTGTTCTTTTGAAGTACAACAACTTACTGGGCAGATCACGAGATGAAAATAGAAGAAAGCCTAAAAAGAAATCTAATGCAGCCATCACATCTAAGAATTGGTAAGCTTCAATATAATAAATGTTTGCTTTTGGGTTTAATACATCTACCAGTCTATGGGAAATCTTACACAACATAACACAGTGAAATCTAGATGACACTGGAACATCTTATGGGCTGGTCTTGATATGCTGGTCCCCAAACGTAAGCTATTAAATGGCAACAAAATGCGACATTCTTTACCTAGTCCTCACTGGTGTTATATAGCCTGGATCACCTTGTATTGATCGTTCTTCTAGGGTCCAGCACTCAATTAGTTCTTGAGGTACCCTCCAGTAGCTGAATCCTGCAAAAAAATCTACACGTGTTACATCAGAGCAGAACATACAAAAGAGCAAGGTACAAAGTAATGGGCAATGTGAAGGTTCCAGCCATTGAATCCTTTTCCAGCATGTTTTACCTCTTCCTTCCCAGGTTTCAAAAGCATCCATCATGGTTTTCAGCTCAGATACACTGTAGTAGCTCAAAATGTACTGAATATTACCACCAGCTTCCCTGTCAGAGAGAAGAAAGAACAGTCTAAAGCTTAATGCGATCTGTCTTACGTATTTACACACTGCTTTATCACATTTGACACTTTCAGAAGTGTCAGATGTCTGTGTCCCCTGATGTGTGGTTTGGCATGTAGTGACATATGGACCAGAAAAACAAACCACAGAGTACAAGGCGTGTACAGGCATTCCATACTAGTCTGAATTCAAAACACAAAGTGTGGTTTTTCTCTGATCCCTATGCTATCTGTACGAGTCACTGAAGACCCTAAGTGGACACAACAACCTTGAAGGAGCCAGACTGTCACCTCCAGCACACAGCAGGTGACTCATAGCCTCAGCTCTGTATGTTTTTCTATGTCAGTGTGTAGAGGGCAGGGGGGGGGGGGGTTGTCCCTTCATTCTACTCAGTTTTCATAGTGTTCTTTTCTCTAGCTCTGCAAAATCCTTTGATCTGTGTTGTTTTAGAAGACTCTACAGGTGAAATGGCCACAGACAAACAGGTACAACTTATGTAGGATGCTTTTTTCTTAGGTCTGTGTATCACCTGAGGCCAGACACTTCACTGGGTATATGTAGGGGTTTAAAATGTATGGTTTATGTCTGAAGATTAGTGAAAGCAGAGACCCAGGACAATAAAAATGGTTAGTTTTTTTTTACTAACAATTTTAGTGCAACTGTTTATCAAACGCAAACAAAAATGCAGTAAAGTCTATATTAGTGCACCCTAAAACAATTTAACCATTTTTTGGTAAAATATGTTTGGGTCTCCCTGGCGCCCGATTGTCTGATTCATGTCTCTATCCCCTTGGGGGTGAGCACACTAGCTCTGTCCTTGGAGCTTCCACCCACATATCATGTCTATCCACACCGTCCCCCCTTAGTTTTCCCCCTCTGGTTTCCAGCTTGCTCATTCCCTCTTTTTTTTTTTTTTTATCTCATCTCCCTTTTTTTTTCTACACTCCTTTTCTTCCCTCTCTTTGGCTCTCCAGCTCCTCACCATTTCTTATCCCCTCCCGACTCCTTCCTCATTGTGCCCTGTACTCGCCATTTCTGTCTTTCCTGTTTTCCACATCTTCTCTACTTCATTTTTCCTTTTTCCTCCTACATATACGCTTATTCCTCTGCCCATAGGCAACCTAATCCCACACCCAGACTACACCTGCACATGTGCCTTTCCCAATCCACGGAGTTATTTTCCTACACGTTGGCTACCTCTGAGTGGTACCTTTGTTGCTCCTCATGGATAGCACCGAGCTCTCTATACCTTCGCAACCCCTTCCCTTCACCAGAAGCCCAGCACCTTTAGCCCTATCCCCTTCCCCCCTACTCTGCTACTCTATGATAAAAGATATATGGGGGAGCAAACAAATGACCCTGCCCGTTTGGTGGAATTTTGTACGCTGTGTAGTGGTTATGATTAGTGTTTGCCTTTCTTTTTGCTGTGAACACGTGTTCTTTCTCCTAGTTGAACTTCATTATTGTTACAGGAGACACGAGATGGCTTGATCATTTTGTTCACCTGAGTATTTCTTATTGTTTGTCATATGCTATTTGTTTTTCACCGCGTTTCTCTTTGGCACATTGTATTTCCTTGTACAATTTGTATGCTTTGAATTTTTTCTCAATAAACTTTGTGGCATAAATGTTTGGGTCAAATAAATAGATACCTAACATTTCAAGCCCCAAAGCCCAAGATAAGCCGACAAACTTTGGTATCCAAAGGGTTGTCCATAGACAAAACTTTAACCACTAGCCTACAGGGCACTTATACCCCCTTCCTGCCCAGGCCAATTTCCAGCTTTCAGCGCTGTCACACTTTGAATGACAATTGCGCAGTCATGCAACACTGTACCCATATGAAATTTTTATCAATTTTTTTGTGATAGAGCTTTATTTTGGTGGTATTTAATCACCTCTGGGTTTTTTTATTTTTTCTTAAACATACCAAAACCCACTGAAAATTTTGAAAAAAAATGTTTTCTTAGTTTTTGGTATAAAATTTTGTAAATAAGTGATTTTGCTCCTTCACTGATGTGCGCTAATGAGGCTGTAGTGATGGGCAATGATAGGCTGCACTGATGGACACAGAGGTGGCACTGATGGGCATTGATGAGGAGCCACTATTAGGTGGCACTGATGGGCATTGACAGGCATCACTGATGGGCACTGAAAGGCAGCACTCATATATATATATATATATATATATATATATATATATATAGATAGCACTGACTGGCACTGATAGGCGGCACTGACGGGCACTGATAGGCGGCACTGATGCACACTGATAGGTGGCACTGAAAGGCAGCTCAGATGGGCACTGATATGTGGCATTGATGTGCACTGGTAGGCGGCATGGATCATCACTTAGAGCTGCCACTGATGGACACTGACAGGTGGCACTGCTGGGGCTACACAGATCATCAGGGTGCTCTGAATGATCAGTGTACATGTCCCCTCCGTGGAATGCCGATTACCAGCTCTCCTTTCCTCACGAGTTGTCAGCGTGACAGCTCGTGAGGAGAGAAATGCCGATAACCGGCATTTCCCTGTTTACATGTGATCAGCTGTGATTGGACACAGCTGATCACATGACCGAGCCGAAATCTTCGGCTCTTTCCGTTGATCTCATTCTAACCGTGCATGCGTGGCTCCGGGAGCGCGCAGTGCGGTGATCAGTGGTGCTCTGTGTCCCTCGGACACTGATTCACTGATCTCCCACTCCCCCCCCCCCCCTCTACCAGACAAGAGCTGCCATGGCCATTTTGATCCTGTAGGAGGACAGGTGAATCTGGGATACAGGTCAGGGGAAGTTGGGTCCAAGATGTTTGGAAGTAATCAGGCAGCTTAACAACCACCCATGTCAATTCCAACAGAAAGACAACAGTCAACTTGACAACCAGGAATATATTTTTAAAGCCCATTCTACTACGGATGGAAGCCTTGTGTGAGTGGCAGTGAAAGGGTTAAGAATTATTTGTCAAGTCTTCTGGATAGACATGGGAATCGCACAAACTTCTGTAAATTGTTTCATTGCTGAAGATATTTCACCTCACTTCCTATCCATTGTTACAACAGGGCAAGACATTGGAAGAGCTGGAAGGTTGTTACTGGAACAGAAAGACAGACAGTTATAACCTGACAGAACTTCAAACACTCCCATTTCACTGAATAAAAAAGGTTTATTGTCTATGTCCTGCTGGAGAGATTACCCTCCTCTTTCAGTCTGGGCAGACCATAGGCTGCAAATAAAAACCTGTCAGAAGAAAAAAAAAGAAAAAAAAAAAAGAAAAAAAAAAAGATTTGTCTAGAGCAGGGTTCAATAATTCTGCTTATCTGACATCCACTCTGCATTCTGTAATCTGTGTATATATTTAAATTTGTAAATAAATATAGGCTCCAAATAAAAAGCAGCCATACCTTATTACTAAAGGCATAAGATAGAAACTTCTGCTGTCGCATATTGTTACCTTTTGTACATATGTTTATGATTGATTCGGTTTCCCAGTTGTTTCCGTAGAGCTGAATCCCCATCTTCTCTAGTTGCATAGATGCCAATGATCCGACTCTCACAGCTGGAGCCACACGTGTGTAAGTAATGTAACACCCACACTGTAGGCTTTGTGCATAGAAGACCATAAGAATCACAGAAGTCAAACAAGACCTGAAAGAAGCATTGATAGGAAGAAAGTAAAACAAAAGTTCACCATTGTTATACCTTTGTCCTCCCTGTAACATAGTTGTAATTTCCATTTCCAACTTTGTACATTTCCCTTTGCTGTGCACTTCAAGTTTCCCTCCAATATTTCCTGGTGCAGCAAATATTATTGTACACACAGAAGCTACTCTGTATAAAAGCTGGCATGATCATACCCGTTAACTGCAACTGCTGATCAAGCAGAGTGAGGCTGACAGCAGCTACAAAAAAGGCAGCAATCAATGTACAGAAGTCTGAAAAAAATATTTCCTGGATCATCCTCCAGGATGGTTGACCCCTTACTTGGATGGCTGTGCTACGTAAAGTTGGCAAAGGTCGTTCTGTGCAGCAGGTCTCATCTGGTCCCAGTCAACAGTAATTCCTTGAGGGCCCAGGATTGGGCTGGACCAAGCTACTCCTGGTGTCATAACTCCACTGTGCTGCAGGATTCCTGGAAAAGGAGCTGTCAGGTATTCTAAAATCATCCACCAGGATGGTTGACTGGAGGATGATACAGGAAAAACCTGAGTTATCACCTAATAACTCCTTTTCCAGGAATCCTCCAGGATGGTGGAGGCGACACCAAGAGTGACCTAGTCATGTCCAAGGAAGCACTAATGCCCGGTTGCCTGATGGAACCTGCCCCACAGAACAACCTCTGGCCACTTTTTGGAGCATGTGAGAACCCAGCATTCCAAGTACGGGGTTAACTGTTCTGCAGGAGTTCTGGAAAAAGAGTTAAGTAATAACCCAGATTTTTAAGGGCTCGTTCACACCAAGGGGCCATTCTAAATGCACAGCTGTTGCTGTGTGCTCATAGACACGTAACTTAATTGAAATGCTACAAGTAACATTTCAATACAGTACACCACAGTGGCATGGGGAGGAGGTGGTTCATGTTAAAACCTGCTGCGTTGAACAAAATGTAGTCAATGCAGTACTTTTGTTCAGTGCACACCAAAACACTGTCAGTGTAGCCTCAAAACATCTGGAATGAGCCCTAAGGGCCCATTCACACTATGTGCAGCTACCTGCATTTTTTCCTCATGGATAAACGTAAGTAAACAATAGTTTTCAGTGTGTCATATTCGCATTAGAACGTAGTGTTTCACTGCATTCCAGAGATGTGTGATATTATGTAACAAGTTTGCATAATATTGTACCTCCCTGGATGGCTCTGCATGTCATGACACTGCTGTGTGAACAGGCCCAGGTGCACCGAGCCCACATAACAGAATATGGTAGATATGGATTCACAAGGTATTGCTTAACAAAAATAAGACATTTAAAACTTTACTCCATGTACATGAAAATGACAAAATAGACAACCATTTAATCCAGTTAAGAATCAATTCCAGTCACTAGAATTAAGCCTGAAAAAAAAAAAAAACCCAATACACTGACAGGTAGGATTTTTATGACAAAAGAGATCCTATTGGTCTTATGTTGTAAACCCTTCTCCCTGCCTGTTAGCATTTTTTTTACTCTAAACTGCACATGCACAGCTCAGTGTACATTTATTATTATTATTTTACAGGATTTTTATGGCACTACTCTGTCTTGTGATGATGTGACTTCAATGCACATCCGCAGAAGTAACATTATTGAAGCACGGCCAGCCAAGCGGCTGAAAAGCCTGTACCTGGAAGTAATATGGCAGCACCTGTGACCAATGGGGGTGTAGAGAGGGCAGTACTGGAGGAGATCACTTGCCATGTAAATCTGTCATAATGTACTAATACACTGTTCATACTAGCACATTATGGCTAAAAGCTCCTGGGGCTCAATATAAAAAATGTCAGAGGTAAAGCAGGAAAGGAACAGGGCTTCTTCTAGTATTACTATTTTGTACCTGTTAGAGAGATTTCCACTCACTTCACTAGGACAGGGGGTAAAATCTCCCCAGTAGTAATGTAGAGGAAAAAAAAGCCTGACAGATAATCCAACTCTTTCCCACATTACTTAAAAATGTGCTTCTATTGCTGGGTAAGTCTCTATTGGAGATTTTTGATTACTTCCTGGCTTAGTGACTACCATAACTGGGGCAGGAAGAGAAGAAATTCATCTTCAAATAGGGTAAAGAAAGGACTGTGAGTTTGACAGATGTTTAAACTCTGCCTTTCTTTGTCCAAAGAAGCCGGCTCTACAGCTGGCCATAGATAGCTTTGAAAATAAAGTCTTAGTAAAAGTTTTACGAAGATTTGTACAATAACTCTCAGAACATATGAATGTCATTCAAAAGATTTAGCTTGCTTAGAACATTCGATTTTGAAAAAACTGACTTTACCAAATGAAAACCACATATACTATTATAAATTAATATTTTTAAGAAAAAATTTCCATCCTGCTCCTTTGAATTTTCTCCTTACTGCAGTCAAAAACAAACATCAATTTGAACCAGTAATGATTAGAAAAACAAACTAACTTTCTTAGAACATTCTAACATATTTAATTAACAATGTAATGCAGTATTAAAGGTAAACAGTGTCAGAAAAAAAGCCTAACAGAGGTTCAAAACCATCCCCACCCTACCTAAAACCTATTTGTAGTTGGAGTTCCATTATACAGTGCCTTTAAAAAGTATTCATACCCCTTGAAATTTTCCACATTTTGCCATGTTACAACCAAAAACAAATTTATTTTTATTGAGATTTTATGTGATAGACCAACACAAAGTGGCACATAATTGTGAAGTGGAAGGAAAATGATAAATGGTTTTCAACATTTCTTACAAATAAATATCTGAAAAGTGTGGCGCGCATTTGTATTCCCCCAAGTCAGTACTTTGTAGAACCACTTTTCGCTGCAATTACAGCTGCAAATCTTTTTGGGGATGTCTCTACCAGCTTTGCACATCTAGAGTGACATTTATGGCCATTCTTCTTTCCAAAATAGCTCAAGCTCTGTCAGATTTGATGGAGAGCGTCTGTGAACAGCAATTTTCAAGTTTTGCCACAGATTCTCAATTGGATTTAGGTCTGGACTTTAACTGGGCAATTCTAACACATGAATATGCTTTGCAGACTCTAAATTGTATCTTTTGCAGACTCTAACAGGTTTTTTTTCTAAGATTGCCCTGTATTTGGCTCCATCCATCTTCCCATCAACTCTGACCAGCTTCCCTGTCCCTCCTGAAGAAAAGCATCCCCCCATGATGATGCTGCCACCATGTTTCACGGTGGGGATGGTGTGTTCAGGGTGATGTGCAGTGTTAGTTTTTTGCCACACACAGCGTTTTGCTTTTAAGCCGGTTAAGTTTTGGCCTCATCTGACCAGAGCACCTTCTTCCACATTTGCTGTGTCCCCCACATGGCTTTTTGCAAACTGCAAACGGGACTCCTTATGGCTTTCTTCCAACAATGGCTTTCTTCTTGCCACTTTTCCATAAAGGCCAGATTTGTGGAGTGGACGACTAATAGTTATCCTGTGGACAGATTCTCCCACCTGAGCTGTGGATCTCTGCAGCTCCTCCAGAGCCTCTTGCCTGCTTCTGATTAATGCTCTATGTGCCCAGCCTTTCAGTTTCGATGGACGGCCATGTATTGGTAGGTTTGCAGTTGTGCCATACTCTTTCCATTTTCGGACGATGGATTGAACAGTGTTCCGTGAGATGTTCACAGCTTGGGATTTTTTTTTTTTTATTATAACCCAACCCTGCTTTAAACTCTGCACAACTTTATCCCTGACCTGTCTGGTGTGTTCCTTGGCCTTCATTATGCGATTTGTTCACTAATGTTCTCTAACAAATCTCTGAGGGCTTCACAGAACAGTTGTATTTATACTGAGATTAAATTACACACAGGTGGACTCTATTTACTAATTAGGTGACTTCTGAAGGCAAGTGGTTCCGGCAGATTTTAGTTAGGGGTATCAGAGTAAAGAGTAAAGGGAGCTGAATACAAAATGCATGCCACCCTTTTCAGATATTTGCAAAAAAAAAATTTGAAAACCATTCATCATTTTCCTTCCAGAATTATGTGCCACTTTGTGTTGGTCTATCACATAAAATTCCAATAAAATACATTTATGTTTTTGGTTGTAACATGACAAAATGTGGAACATTTCAAGGGGTATGAATACTGTAGAATATACAGCTGAATGTTTTACCATTTTAGCAGATGAACCAACAGAAATGAAAGGATGGCATCACACACCTTTTTAAGCTCTAAATTTGAGTTACAAGAATGAGTCTCCATTTCATTGGCCAAATGTTCAGTGAGACTGTAAGGGAATGGAATTCCAAAGTAATCTGCTTCCTCTTGCAGAGCAATTCTCATTTGTTCATCACTGGGGATTCGTATTTCTCCATGTAAGTAGTCTAGGATGTATCCAAACAGTTCACCATTTCTATTAATAAGGCAAAAACCTGCAGTTAAAGCGGAAAACAATTTATCTTTGATGAAAAAAAATACTTCTACAGTAAAAAAAGCAGATATTATTTATATAATTCAAACATCCCTAAAATACATCATATAAAATTGTAGTATAACTAAAGCCAAAACTTTTTTTTTTTAGTTTTGGACAGAGTGAAGATGGATTAGAACACCCGCCTTGTTTTTATTGATATCTGCGTCCCCATTAGGGAGATTCACCCTCTTTGTTGGTCCATGTTTAATCCATATGTTCGCAAAAAAAACAAAACTCCAGACACTCTGTATCAGATAAAATAAGTGTAAGACTCGACGTTGGGAGTGGAACAGTCATCACAAATGCCAATCTGTCAATCTGCCCATCTATGTACTGGAGATCTGGAGATGCCTGTAGGCCACTCAGGGGTGCTGACAGATGTGTATTATTGCATACTGCTAAACACCATCAGATCAGCATATATGACCACTGGAACCACTTCCTTTTTTTGCTCGATCTCTGTTCAACATTCCAATTGGCTCCTTCAAGGCAGTGCCTCCTAGTGCGTGAATACAGCCACTGCTCCCAATATGACATGGGTGAGGGTGCGTGTCCCCAAACTCACACTGTCTACATTTAGGCCCATGCACCAGCACCAATGTCAGACTGGGAGCAGCGGCTGTGTCTATGCAACTGCTACAAACGATTTGTGACCAGCACACCAAAGATCTACGAAGAGTTCAATGCTATATTTGACAATCACATCCAACACAGCAATGTTTTGGGGCCATGCAAGACCCCTTTGTCAGGCATGTGACCAAACGGTGAAGAGGTTCAAGTAGAAACTGCTGAACTTTTCACCCTATGTAACCTGACAGATCACTCCTTGAAATAGAAGATGATCCGGAGCTTGCAAAAGAGAAAATCTTTCTTGTGGATTCTAAGATTTTTTTTTTTTTTTTAAACAAACCACAGAGGGGGAAAAGTTCTGAAATTCCGGCTTGTAACTGCACCCACTCATCCATGATCTCAGCTTACCAAACATCCGTGAAGGCCTGCAAACTTCCCCTCACCCCAAATGGGTGGGGACACCCCTTCATTGTGAAAAGGACTTGTCCTCTGGCTTAGAGAACTTTTGATCTATGATTTCTTGCTGAACTGGAACCACTACAGTGTGTACTACTAACGTGAATCCAAAGCACCAAGCTCTCTTCTCTCTCTGCATGTCTCACTCCTAATAGATAAAGTTGACATCTCAGCCTCCCAGGAGCCAGCCCACCCCCCACTCAGTAGATTTCTCATACCCTCAGCTCTATGTTTCTCTGAGCTTGTGAAAAAGAGAGTATCTCTTTCCTCCAATCATCTCTCAGATTACACTGATCTCTGTGCTCTAGGGTTGCAGTGTGTGTAAGTTCAGATCCCTGCCACTTGCCTTCTGCTGCTAAGAAAATTCTATTATCTGTGTGTTGTAGAAGGCTGTACAGGACAGATGACTGCAGATAAACAAGTACAACTTAGGAGAATTTGTTTCATCTCTGTGTATCACCTGAGGCTAGTCACTTCACTGGGTATATGGTAGGGTTTACAAATGAGAATGTACAGGAAATGATTGAGGATTTTGTGGCAGACACCACAACCCAAACCCTGTAACTTTGGAAAAAGGTTTCAGGAAGCAGTAACTTCAAACCAGTCTGTAAAATATCCATGATAAAGCTCACAAAGGTCTGAGGTAAACTCTGATATTAGGGTTCTTCAGGGAGCAGATTCCACAGATAAAGTTTCTTCTGTATCCTCTTGTACTGAAACATTCTTCTCTTCCTCTATCTCGAGGGGGGGGGGGGGGGGGGGGGGGGGGTTAGGAAGAACACTTCCACTTAAGACCAAGACGGTCCAAGCCAGCAAGTATTCCAGAAAGCTGCGGCTGTAAACCAGCAATAGCGGATAAGAATTCCTCAATTATCACAAAGGTACTGGAGGAAGGTGCCCCAGAAGGAAAATGGAGCAGCAAGGAACACATTGACCCCTAGGGAATACATTGCACAAGAGCTGTGCCCAGGTTCCTTCCTACCTGAAGAAGGTATTTGGGACCCCTCAGCCCTTACATTCCCTCCTCTCTGTCATCTACACAACAGTCTGAGGTCTGAGTCAGCAAAGAGGGCACTGTGCCAATAAGCACAAGTGCACTAGTTAGCTCAGGAAATTTCCTACTAAACCTGTCAGTGCCTCCCAAGGAAGAGTTGTGTGGCCTAATACTTTCTGTAACTTGTAGTCCCACAAGACAACCATCTCTGCTGCAACCTATAGTCCCACTAAAGGAAAGTGTCCTGCTGCAAACAGTATTCCCATGAAAGCTCGCACTACTGTGTTCACATGGGGATCCAAGATGGCCATCCTCGCCAGAGCACTCCATCCCTACTCCTGACATCACTGGGCACGCACGCAGGCTAGTCTGGTCCGAGTGAAAAAAAACTCCTTGCCCCCTACATTTGGTGCTCAGACCCTCCTGGGCTGCCCTTAAACTCTGCTACTACTATGCAGAGTTTGGGGTGGCCTGGGAGGCCATACAGGTAGCAGGAACACTTTCTGAGTCTAAGGGCTTCCAGAACTGACCCTGGTCATCTGTAGTCAGTGGGCATATATAGGATGGGGACAGCTGATCATAGATTCCCATGTCACTGGTCCCTCATGAATGAGGATACTTGTGCATTCTTATTCATGAGAAAATAAGAAATAAAAAATAAATGCATACCTTACACAGGAGGGCTGGGAGAAGCTCCGGTCCACATTTACAGCTGTGCAAGGCTTTGAATCAAGACTGGCTGCAGGAGAAGAGAAAACTGTGCAGAGAAAAAACTGTCTTAAGCAGGCTGAAGACAGAGAGGAGAAAGCCATGCAGGCAATTACATCCTGCCTGCTGTGCAGAGAGCTTCTGCTTGGGAAATACAAAGCCACAGACTGGGTACCATCATGTACAAACACTCAAAGGACCTGTCCAGGAGTTGGATGACAAGAAGGAAATGGATCCTTGCTGGCTGTGCCCTGGAGACTTTATTCAGAGAGAATTATGAAAAAAGGGCTGGAGAGCGCTCTCTCCCCACTTGATGAAGTCATATAATTGATGACAATATGCGTAGGGTTAGCCAAGTGATGTCACAACAATGAAGTAGTATTCACAGTGCCAGAGCGGATCTCTGCAAATAGAGTGGGCTGTATTGATTGTTTCCCTGTATTGCACTGACTCATGTAAGCATTATTTTATTTTAAAGTGATACTAAAGGTTCACGTTTTTTGTTTTAAACATAACAAACACGTAATACATACCTGCTCTGCGCAATGGTTTTGCACAGAACAGGCCTTATTTTCCTCTTCTTGAGTCCTCCGCCGGCACTCCTGGCTTCCCCTGCTCAGTGCTCCCAGAGCAAGCTTCTCATTCCAGGGGCACTCATAACTGTTCGCTCCTGAGCCGCTTCTGTGTCTCAAAGACACACAGAGCATGGCTTGGCTCCGCCCCCCACTGACTGTGACTCACAGCAGTGGGAGCCAATGGCTACCGCTGCTGTGTCTCAGCCAATGAAGAGGGAGAGACCCTGTAGAGCTGCTGCTCTCATGCACACTGCAAGATCAAGATCAGGCTCAGGTAAGTACTAGGGGTAGCTGAGGGGGGACCTGCACACTGAACGTTTTTACCTTCATGCATAGCCTTTAGAACTACTTTAATAAAAACTGTAATTAGAGGATTACAGGGGTAGAGCCAGACAATTTTTTGGGGGAGGTGCTATGTAGGTGCTGAATGGATAAGTGGGGATGCTAACATGGCACGTGTAGTGCACTGACTGCTATGCTCTTGTGGGCATGGTCAAAAAATGGTTGTGGCCAAAAAGTGGGTGCTTTTTTTCATGGTCTATTCCATTGTATAGACAAAATAAGGACTTGGGTCACACCAAAGAGATTTCTGGAGTAAAATAAGCCCAAATGGGACCAGCAATGACCCCCCCCCCCCCCCCCCCCAGCAAGTGTCATGGTCAGCAATAACCCCAGAAAGTGTAAAGGCCAGAACGACATAATAATTAACTCCCATCATGGAACAAAAATAAACACCCATCCTGGCACAATAATTAGCCTCAAGAACAGAACAACAATTAACCAACAGCATGGCAAAATAACCACTTGCCACCTCACCACGGTAAATTTACTGGGGCAGGGCGGCATGTACAGGCTCAGTCACATATTGTATATATACGTAATTGTACTTGATCTGGTTAGGAGCGCTCAGTGTGCTTCCTGGGGTGTGAGCACAGAGGATGGCGATTGCCAGTAACGGGGTATCATGTGGTCGTAGCGATCACATAGTTACATAGTTAGTCTGGTTGAAAAAAGACACAAGTCCATCTAATTCAACCAATAAAAAGAAAAGAAAAACATATACATTCCTATATACACAATCCTATACCCACAGTTGATCCAGAGGAAAACAAAAAAAAAAACCCCCAGCAAAGCATGATCCAATTTGCTCCAGCAGCAGAGAAAAAAAAATCCTTCCTGATCCCCCAAGAGACAATCAGATATTCCCTGGATCAACTTTACCTATAAATGTTAGTATCCAGTTATATTATGTGCATTTAGGAAAGAATCCAGGCCCCTTTTAAAGCAATCTGCTGAGCTGGCCAGAACCAGCTCTTGAAGGAGTCTATTCCACATTTTCACAGCTTTTACTGTGAAAAAAACATTTCCGTATTCGCGATTAAATCTTTTTTCTTCCAGACATAAAGAGTGCCCCCTTGTCCTCTGTGATGACCTTAAAGGATACGTTCACCTTTCATAACATGTTACACCCATAGTCTTGTTACAAATGGACCGGCCCCCCACATGGCCGATCCCCGTTATTGTCGCTAGCTGTCACAATTCTTAAAAAACATGGCCACATCATTCATTCACAGTATTCTGTTAATGGGAAAACTACAAGTTCCAACAGTCTTTGTGCAAAGGCTGTTGGATTGTA